TTTTGGTAGCAGATATTGAACCCAGGAGAATTTAGCCACTGAGCCACATCTCAGCCTTTATTGTCTTTTATTTTGAGCTAGAGTCTCCCTAAGTTGGCTTAACACCTCACTAAAGTGTTGAGGCTAATCTCAAATTTGCAATCATCTTGCTTCAACCTCCTGAGTCACTGGATTACAGGCATGTGCCACCACATCCAGCTCTGTTATTTGTATTCTTCTTCTTCTTTTTTTTGGACACAATACCTTTTTTATTTTTTATGTGGTGCTGAGGATCGAACCTAGTGCCCCACGCATGCTAGGTGAGCACTCTACCTCTGAGCCCAACACCAGCCCTGTTATTTGTGTTCTTGATGGCTGCTCATAAGCCTTTCAATTATGAAAAGCTCAAGGAAGTCATCCAAGAATGAAAATCCTTCAACATTTTTAGATCACCTGACCAAGACTTTATTACAATATTCTAATCTGGACCCTGAGACTCCAGATGGGAGACAATTACTAATGACAACTACTAATAAGAGATTCAAGTACAGCATTTATAAATAATTTTTCTGACTTGGGAATATTTGCCTGGCATGTGTGAGGCTCTGTGTTCTATCCCCAGTACCACATAAAAAGTTTAAAAAAAATTCTTTTTCAGTTAAAAATTTCAGTAGGGGGTTGGGTTGTGGCTCAGTGGTAAAGCTCTTGCCTTCAACATGTGAGGCACTGGTTTGATTCTCAGCACCACATAAAAAAATAAATAAACAAAATAAAGTGAGAATATCACTCTTGATATTTTTAAAAAATTCAATAGACCTTTTTAATAAACAGGATGGGTGCAATCATACTTCTACAGGCAATAATAATAACATGGCTCAACATAAATCTCACACTGTTATGGTTTGGATGTGAGGTGTCCTCCAAAAGCTCACCTGTGATGCAATGCAAGAAGTTTTAGAGAACTGATTGGTTTATGAGAGCCTTAATCCTTTGAGTTAATCCCCAGATGGAATTAACTGACTGGTATCTGGAGGTGGGTCAGTGGAGTTTTGCCTTTAGGGTATATATACTTGGCATTTGGTGAGGACCTTTTTATTTTACATAAGCTGCTTCCCTCTGCCACACTCTTCTGCCATGATTTTCTGCCTCACCTTGAACCCTGAAGAATGGAGCCAGTTGTCTGTGGACTGAGACAGGGAGGGGTTCACCTGTGGCTTTGAAGCTTACACATTTTTTTTCTTTTATCCAATCTTCTTTTCCCTACAAGTCTCCCTGATTGGTTTCCCCTAACATTCTCCTTCCAAGTCTCCTCCCTAATCTTGTCTTTTCTGATCTCTTTCTAATCTCATTTTTTCTGAATCACCTCTATAAAAGCCCCTGTTCCTGCAGAGGAGAATCACAGCCTTTGGGATAGGAGAACCTGGTGTTTCTCTGTTGCTACCAAAGCAATAAACCTTCATTTTCCTTTTTCTCAAAACTGAGTTGATGTTATTGGATTGGTATCAGAGGTCAGGACGAAGCTTTCATTGGCGCCATTGCTCGGATGGGACTCCCCTGCCTTTAAGCAGGACCCCCATCCCACCATAGATCACCACCTGAGCAGAGACCAACCTGCGCCCATCTTCTTGTTCGCCTCCTTTGCACCATCAGCCTACGAATCGGTGAGTCTCCCTCTCCAGACCAAATGCCTCCTCTGAAAGGCAAGTGACTCACCCCAGATGGAAATTCAACCAAGAGATTTTATTGGGGGGCTGCCCAAAGGGGAAGAAAAGGAGAGGAAAGGAGCAGCAGCAGCATGAGCCTGCAAGCTTAAGAAGGGTTGCTTTGGTGATGTGGCGGGTGCTGATTGGCAGGGTGACTCAGGAACAGGCAAGCAGACACTGTCCTGCAGGGATTGGTTGAGAAAACTTGACTTTGGCACCCTTGGGAGGGGAGGGGGAGGGGTAAGTGATTTTGTGGTCTTCTCAAGAGAAGAAACTTAACTTTGGCGGGGAGAAACCCAACGGGGGAAATAAAACCAAAGGGCAAGGTCTCCCACACACCCAACATTCCTCCCTTTTTGTTTTTGTGTTGGAAGCAGGGTGAGGAGATCCTCTGGCTACTTCCTGTGTGAAGGGAGGGAGGAATGGTCAGGGTGTGGGGACAAGAGAAGCATAGCTGTAAAGGCCAGGGCACTGAAGATGCAAATTTCCTTGGGGCTGAAGTTGATGAAAGTTCCTTGAAGCACTAGGTCAAGGATAGTCTCCATCCAATCCTTGTCCTTGCCAATAGGGGTGGGGAGTCAGCCAGCTGTCCTGTCGGAGGGCCTCCATGAACTCCACGAATCAGGTGTGCCACATCATGAGCCTAAAACACCAAAGATACCCAAAGGCAAGGAGAAGAAGAGGGACGAGGGGACACCTGTTAGACCAGGACGCAAGAAAAGACCACTGACTCCAATTAAAGTCAAATTAAAGCAAGCTTATTATTTCCACTGGCCCGGCTGCCTCTCCCACCCAAAACCCCGGGAACAAAACAGCAGCCGCAGCTTTCCTGCAGCCCAGCTTTATAGCCCAGAAAGTTACACAAAGCGGGGTTACAGATAACAGAACTCTGACGAGCGTCACACTAATGGTAGTTTACATTTTTGCTGGCCCCGACATCAGAATTTATGAAGGTCATTAGAGCCTCAGAGAGGGCCGGTATCTGGTCAGGGAAGGCCAAGATTTGTGAGGCGTCACTAAAGTTTCAGAGAGGGCTGCTATCTGGTCAGAGAGCCAGGCATGGGTGAGTTCAAAGCACAGGCAGGCATTCCAAGCAGGTTCAGGATTTGCAGTAATTTATAGTAAAGCCGAAATTAGCTTTTCATGGCTTTGTGGGGAGATGACTCCCAATTTTAAGAAAAGATCAGGTTGGGTCTATCAAACCTCATTAGCTTCTGGCTGGAGGTCCAGTGAGAGGGACTGGCTGAGAAAAGACCAGCAGTCAGGAGGAGGCACACCACAGCAAATGGGCCTAGGAACCCTGAGTGACAGGCTGGTGAAGTTCCCACGTCGTGTTTCCGTTTTGTAACTCCACATCCACGATGGTGCAGTTCCATTAGCAGTTGGTGAAGCCTTCATGTAAGGGACAGGTGTCCTCCGAGGTAATAAGTAGCTGGAAATCCCTGAGGAGAAGCTGGTTAAAGGTCTGATTAGATATTTTGCCTATTTCTTTCGGCAGGAGTTTTATGATTCATGGTAGAAAGGCATAAAACAAGAAAATCCCAATTATCGGGACAATCTGGGATGTCTGACAAAGCAGATGAGTGGATGTGAGGGAAGTGGATGCCAGGAGGGTGGCAAAGAGAAGGGTGGAACTAGAGTGAAGCATGTTGTTGTGAGGGTTTCTCAGGTTGAGGAAGGTCCTCCTTGGAAGGGGGAAGGTGCCCTCAGGTGAGAGATGTGGAGCTTTAAAGGATTCTCAGGAGTGGTGGAGCAGACGTATTTGTGGGAGGAGGACGGTGGACCGTCAGTGTGGGCTCCCTCAGTCGGAGGCAGGGCCAGTTTCAGCCTGGAAATGTGAACCATGCAGTCAGACTCCTGTAGGTGGGCAGCAGTGGAAGTGCACATGATAACCATTAGGGGGCCCTTCCATTTAGGTGTCAGGACAGGCATGTCACCAGAAGGAGGAGAGACATACACTCAGTTGCCAGGGGTTAGGGGAGAGACGTGTGACCTGGAGGGATCAGGTAATAGAGTTTCCTGATGTTTCCAAATCTGTTTGGATAAATCTAAGAAGGGGATGACTGAGAGGTTCTAGAAGAAAGCAGGGTGAAGGGGTCACCTCAAGTGGTAGGGGTGGGCGTTCATAAATCACCTCAAAAGGGGACATTTGAATTGAACTTTTGGGGAGCACCCAAAGGCGACACAAGGCAACTGGGAGACGTTAATCAGGCGTCCATCCACCATAATAGTGACCCTGGGCTCCTGAAGGTGATGGTGGTCATCGGGGAGGGCATCCCAAGGACCACAAGCCAAAGCAATCCTTCTTAAGCTGAAGCTTGCAGGCTAATGCTGCTGCTGCTCTCTTCCTCTCCTTTTCTTCCCCTTTGGGCAGCCCCCCAATAAAATCTCTTGGTTGAATTTCCATCTGGGGTGAGTCACTCAGCTTTCAGGGTCAGCACATCTAAACCATCACACCATCTCAGCTCTGGCTACCAAACATACTCTGCATAGAGGTAGGGTTTATTACATCATTATGCTAATACATACGGATTCTTTGGGTTTACAGACATCTTTGGGGCATTGCTGGGTTGTATGTGTGTGGAAGAAT